TGGCCTTGAAGCCTGAGAAATTAGAGGCCACAAGACACATACTATCAGAGTACGGAAACATGTCGAGTGCTTGTGTGCTGTTTATTTTGGATGAGGTTAGGAAGAGGGCTGCCGAGAAAGGACTAAAAACCACCGGAGATGGGCTGGATTGGGGTGTGCTATTCGGGTTTGGCCCTGGGCTCACTGTGGAAACCGTCGTGCTTCACAGTGTGGGTTTGAATGCTTGAAGCCGTGAACATCATCACTGTTGATTCATTTCGCATGCTTTCTTCTATATGTATTGGCTCCACTTTTTCTTTGGTTTTTCGGATTTATTTTCTTCTTTTTTATTTTTCTCCTCTTTAAAATCTAAGTGGGCGTCATGGCTGTGTTTACTACGTTCATGAAGACAAAGGGGACCCTGTATTGATGAATAATTAATATATTTATTCCATGATTTTCCCTTTATATATTTTTATAATTGCTTAGCTACTCTTCAATGCTTGAGACCACAGTTTATGTTATTAAAAAACGAGCAGACAAACAAATACTATTAATCTTCGCATCTCACCTAATTGTAGACAGTTTTGCCCTCAATATTGATGGAGAAGTGAATGACATGTTAGGAAATTTGATAGTAGGGGGAAAATTGGCGAAAAAGTTCATGGAAAATTGAAAATTAGGTGATAGTTTGGCAGTTTACTCTTTACTTTAATGCCACAGTGTGATATAATTTACAAAGAGGAAATCAAACTCGGGTGTAAATAGACGGACAGTTTTAACCCACCTCTGCAAAACTTGTAGCCTTTGTGCGGATGTAATTGTCCACAACGACTTGACTCCAAATTCTTTTTCATAGTGGCTTATCAAATTGGTACCAAATCCTTATGTGTGGCACCTTAAGGCAGAGAAATTAAAGAGCTCAGTACTGTATAGAAGCTAGAGGATGGGACTGAACGCAGAGAACGAGTGCTTGGCATGTGTGTGGAGGCAATTAAGAAGAAGCCCACGTCATGTCTAATTTGGAGGAGGCCATAGATGTGGCTCACCATGTGTTTGCATGCATTGCACATGTTATGCATGTTTTACTCACTAATCAAAACATTGAAAACATATCTACGGTTGTTGTTCTAGGACAAATCCAATCCAAGTAATTAGCTGGACTGGATTGATTGATTCATTAATTTTATATAAAAGTCACAAGTGGAATAATGAACATAAATAAACATAAGCTTTATGTTTGTCCTCAACGAACGCCGGTCTGCCAGGGAATCCCAAGCTACCACACTTCTTAATCTTTCTTTCATAATTTAATTATTTGGGGTCATGTAGTCATCCAACTTTTGTGTCACTCGCCTTCCTCCCCGCCCAAATTATTGCTCACACCCTTTTTCAAAAACATACTGTACCCATCGTATACACAACAGTCAACAAGAAAAAATAAAAACAACGGTTGACTTTCAAAACTAACAAAAGTTTACCTCCCTTAGTATAAACAGGCCATTTTTTAGGTTTCTTTATTCTACTGCTCTTAAAACTTCGGTTAAATCTTATTTTATCTTACAAAATTAAAGTGGCTCACTTAACCCCCTTTATCGTGGTTTTGTGTTCTACTTTACATTCCACCGTTAACGTCATTCAAAAGACTATCAAATATGCTGATGTGACAGGGTCATTATAGTAAAAGCACATACGGTGGCCAATTGCTGAGCATGGTCAGCATCCTACGTGGCAAAGTGAACCCCACATGATTTTAAAATCGAAATCTAAGCAGCTCAAGGGGTCAAGTGGACCCCAATGAACAATCTGCTCTCTTCTTCTTCGATAAAAAGGTTTTTGAACCTAGAAAAAAAAATGTTACTTACCACCATTTCGAGGATTGAATGTTCTATACTGAGAGCAAAATTTCTCCATGTTTTCTTACATTAAAGGGTGTGAATATGAGGCACGAACCTCCACAAGGAGAAGAGTTGGTCATTGTTACACCTTATTGCTACTATGGGAGGCTTGCTTGGATGCAGACTTCTTGGACAGAGTCCAACACTTTGGACTTTCTTTGTGTGTCCAAAGTCAAAGGTAGGTTTTGGATTTGCTATTTTATTGAAATTTGGACAATAAATTGTGAGAATGTGATGGAACTTTTGTTTGAATGTAGAGGGGAAAAATAGTTGGTGTTTGTTTTTTTTTTTTTTTTTTTGTTGGTTGATATTGAAATGCCTCCCCGTGAGAGAGCTTTGATAGCTTGGCTGCCAAGGACAATGAGAGAAGTTGAAAATCATATTGGGCGTGTGAGAGCAAGAGAGAAGAAATTGTGGATTGCTATGTTTATAGCCTCTTCATCATCCTCATCATCCTCATCCTGCACACACATACCATCATAACCAGATTGTTCATCACTCTCATCTTCATGTTCAAATTCAGCAGTTAGGTTTCTTACAATATGTTCCATCTCCTTTCAAGCCACTGTAGTTTCATCCACATTAATAATAGTTGGGTGTTCCAAGTAAATTACAATCACTCTTTCAAAGCTAGGAGGCACCAAATAACACCATTCAAGTAGTTGAGCATCACTACATATACACACTTCCTTACCATTTTGTATCCATGTCAAAACCACTTAGTCATGATAGCCAAGCTCTTTTTCATACTCATATATCTCTAACAAATTTATGTAGTTCAGAAGACACCAATCCAAATAATCAACAGACCCTCCCACATAAAACCACCACTCATTAAGGTTTGGGGACTTTACCATTCTACCTCCATGGTGTACTTCAAATTTGACTATCCTTTGTCATATGTACAACATAACGTAAAAAACGCACTTTGACCACTGCCTAGTCATTTATACAGTTTTAAAAGGGCAACACAATCACCAAACTACCAGTAAACAGACATCAAGCACTAAAAGAACTTTTAAACAACTAGTAAACATGAAAACATAACAGCAAGACGAAAGGGACCACAACAATTTTTAATTCTAAACTTTTCAAACTCAACGTCTTTGGATCAAACCCAACAAAGCAAGCAAACAATAAAGAAGCTTAAACCTAGACCACACTCTATAAATCTCTCGCTTTCATCGATTCTATTTCAGAAGAGAAAGGCCATTTACCATACTCAGGTTGAGAACCTCCTTTCTTTTTAGGCATCGTCGTTGCCCTCTTCAATCTCTTTAATATTCGTGCTTCTCGCAAGATTTTGATTCTTCTGATTTTTCTACAATATTTGCTCATTCTCATATTTTCGAATCTCTCTCTCTCTCTCTCTCTCTCTCTCTCTCTCTCTCTCTCCGATTATACACTCTAATCCCTAAATTTTTTCGACTGAGAAACTTCTTCTTCTGGCCAAATATACGAACTTAGAAGCTTAGATTTCGATTTTAAATGCATATCGGGTCCATTTTGCCACGTAGGATGCTGACTATGCTCAGCAATTGGCCATCGTTTGTGCTTTTGCCATAATGATCTTGCCGCGTCAGTATTTTTTACAGTCTTTTGGATGACGTTTACAGTGGGAGGGATTTTTTTTGGTGGGGGGGAGATGGGGGTTCCCTCTAATTGCTACTATAGTGGAACCTCGTTAGTCCAATGACCTCTCCCTTATGTATAGATATACTTACGTAGTTCTCTGTCTTCAGTTATAGTCATTTTGTACATAGTTCTCTCTTTCTTTCAACAAAATTTTCACCCCTCTACCTCAAAAAATAAATTAAAAAAAGTACCCCTAAATTGGTACTCAGAACCTCCATGAGACGACAAAGCAAAGTGAGCAAATTTGTCAGCCACTCCATTTCCTTTCCGATAATGGAGGGAAGAACTGTTGTGCACATGGTTTTTCAAGTGTATTTTGAGTTACAAAAATATCACATTTGTGGCATATTGATATCCCATTAAATAAAAAATTCGTTCGAACTTCTTTTAAAATGACGCATTTAGCCAAAATCTGCAATAGGGATGGAATTTTGATCACTCACAATCACTCAACACATTGAGTGAGAAAGCATATATAGTTTGTTAGAATTCAAAGTTTAAGTGTCTGGACTTTGAATATTGATAGTTGTATCCTAGAGATAGACGCCTATAGAAATACAAGACCCATATGTAAGGAGTGAATTTCTGTGTGTGAATATTGGACATTGCATATGCAAACCTCTATCATCCTTGAAGTGAGTTATTTAAACTCCTTCCTTTACTTTGATTCTATGAATTGAATTGTTAATTACTTTTGTTATTATAAAGTTCAGTATCTGATTTATAATTTCTGTTATCATATATTCACATATTGATTGTTTCCATTCCAATAAATTTGAGAAAGTTGTTCGTTATTGTCCTATATTCTTTTATCAGCGTGCTAACTTTGAATCAGTTATTATCCTCAACGTAACTATTGAAAACGCCAAAATTTAAAGCCCCTACTTCATTCATCATGGATGACGTTTTGTCTCAAATAGTTTCAATGTTATAGACATACGTATTTTTCATGTAATGTGGGCGAAGACCAATTCAATATTCTCACGTATGGCTTTGATGGCTTCCATGATCCACCTAGTCGCATGGCCCGAACCAGACATTTTTCATGCCTAGCTACTTAAATTTTGTGTCAGCTGCAAAGTGATCATACGTAAGATAGAAATAGATTTCACAGGTTGGTGATGCGAATGTTTGATGGGCAAAGCAGCCACGCCAAACTCAGAAGACACACACGTGCCAGCCGGCTCTCTAAACTCTAAAACCTAAAAAGCTTAAAGTTGGTTGAGGAGGGTGCTTCCACTGAGGCATTGGTCAAGCACGTGATTCTCAGCTACCCCTCTTCTCTCTTCAGGCCTCTTTTCCTTCTTTTCCTCCTCATTATATAAATACAACCATTTCTCTCAGCATTTTGTCACACCCTCTCCCTCTCTCTCCACTGCGTCTGCAACAACTATACAACCTCTCTCTCTCTCTCTCTCTCTCTCTCTCTCTCTCTCTCTCTCTCTCTCTCTCTGTGATATATCTTTTGTTTGAGTTGATCAGTTGAAAATGGTGACCGTGGAGGAAGTTCGCAAGGCTCAAAGGGCTGAGGGTCCTGCTACTGTGTTGGCCATTGGGACAGCAACTCCTCCCAATTGTGTTGATCAGGCCACCTATCCTGACTACTACTTTCGTATCACCAACAGTGAGCACAAAGCTGAGCTTAAAGAAAAATTCCAGCGCATGTGTAAGTAGTAATTGTTTTCTACTCTTTTTACTTTCTCTTCTGATCTACATTCGTTATTCTTTATCTTTCATCAGAATTTTTTTTTAAATTTGGATCATGTTTGTTCTGTGTGTTGCCCCCCAAAGATAAAAATAAAACACAGAATTTTGGGTAGATTTTAGCAAATTGGACACCATTTTATGTACACACTTTGTTTTTCATGATTTCAAAGGTGTTTGATAATTTTTCCCTTAATTTGTCATTTATGCATGAACATGATGTGGTTTCATATTTGTGGGGTTTGAATTCAATAAATTGGTTTTTTTGTTTTTTGTTTTGGGTGCAACGCAAATAGAACATGGAATTTGAGGTGGGTTTGGTCACTTAGGTTAGGTTGGAGGAGAACATTAAATATTTACAAGGTCCACCAAATGGAGAAATGTCTCTCTGTCTCTCTCCTCATTGAGGGTTGGGTTTGGGGTAGGGGAGGTTGAGTTGGATGCGCACAAGTCAATTTCAATTTCAAAAACTCCATCGCTGTGCCAAAAACAGTAAAAAAAAGAGGCTACAAATTTGCGTATTGCTTTGCCACTGGATTTCATTTTTCAACATTTAATAATTTTTCAGCACTTGTGATTGTGTGGTAACTTTTCTGTTTATGCTTCTTTCAGGTGACAAGTCTATGATCAAGAAGCGTTACATGTACTTGACTGAAGAAATTCTAAAAGAGAACCCAACTATGTGTGAGTACATGGCACCTTCTCTTGATGCCAGGCAGGACATGGTGGTTGTTGAAATTCCAAAACTCGGCAAAGAAGCTGCCACCAAGGCCATTAAGGAATGGGGCCAGCCCAAGTCCAAAATTACCCATTTGGTCTTTTGCACCACCAGTGGTGTGGACATGCCTGGGGCCGACTATCAGCTCACTAAGCTCTTGGGCCTCCGCCCGTCCGTCAAGCGCCTCATGATGTACCAACAAGGGTGTTTCGCCGGCGGCACGGTGCTCCGGTTGGCCAAGGACTTGGCCGAGAACAACAAGGGTGCTCGTGTTCTTGTTGTGTGCTCGGAGATCACTGCGGTCACCTTCCGTGGGCCCAGTGACACCCACCTTGACAGTTTAGTGGGCCAGGCCTTATTTGGTGATGGTGCAGCAGCTATTATTGTGGGTGCGGACCCAATTCCTGAGATTGAGAAGCCCTTATTTGAAGTGGTCTCAGCAGCCCAAACCATCCTTCCCGACAGCGACGGAGCCATCGACGGGCATCTCCGTGAAGTTGGGCTTACATTTCATCTGCTCAAGGATGTTCCCGGGCTTATTTCGAAGAACATCGAGAAGAGTCTGAACGAGGCCTTCCAACCTTTAGGCATCTCTGATTGGAACTCACTTTTCTGGATTGCACACCCAGGTGGCCCAGCAATTCTGGACCAAGTAGAGTCCAAATTGGGCCTGAAGCCTGAAAAATTAGAGGCCACAAGACACATACTATCTGAGTTCGGAAACATGTCCAGTGCCTGTGTGCTGTTTATTTTGGATGAGGTAAGGAAGAGGGCTGCTGAGAAAGGACTGAAAACCACAGGAGATGGACTGGATTGGGGTGTGCTGTTTGGGTTCGGGCCTGGGCTCACTGTTGAGACCGTGGTGCTTCACAGCGTGGGCTTGAATGCTTGAAGGAAGAGGAAGCTGCATCTGTCAGACTCTGCGTTGATTTGTCTGCTCTAGTTCCTAGATGTAGTTTTGGTGTGTATTGGGTTTTATTTATTTTGAAGCTTGCGTGGGGCATGTGTCATGGGGGGAACCTTGTTGCTGCAGTGGCCATGGCCTGTGTTTACTTTCAGGTTGTTTATTACATTTATGAAGACAAAGGGGGGTATTAAATGTTCCATTTCAAATAATAATATACTTGCTTACCTACTATTCCATAATTATATCTCATATGAATCACTCCTCTTCATGCTTGGACGTGATTCTATGTTTAAAACATATTTCTAAAGTGTTCTTATGTTTACATATTCAAATGTATTTGTACCAAGAGATATGTCCAGAGCTTCAAAAGTTATGTAAAAATTCTGCTCATAATGTCAAAATCGACCGGTCACTTGCTTCCAGGAACCTTTCCTTCAAAACCGACTAGTCGATTTTTTTTTCTTTCTTTTCAGATTGCTCATTTGAAGGTTTTTGTCTTTTCCGATCAGTTGACTGCATAATATTTTGAAAATCTTCAACACCGTGCAATTTGCATGGAACCTAGAACTTGCAAATTAGGGTGAAATCAAGATGGTGTCCTCTCGAGGCGGCTGCCCAAATCTTATAAATTTCCCTAATAATTGTAACAACAATAATTAAGGGGGTCACACTCAATCATTTTGGGTAAATATCTTACATACGTGCACATCAACGAGTCATCACACCCCCAATTAACGTTCAACAAGGAACCTCTCACAACAATAAACTAGCCTCTAAAGAGCTGAGTATAAACCATCTCCGCCTCTTGAAGAAAGTAACTGTTCTTTGACCCAAGAAATCATACTTTTCTCTCCATATAGTTAAGCTAACTTAGGTATTAGAAACTCTTTGACTCACACCGCATGTGCTCAAAGACTGAAGATTGTCTTTTATCTTATGGCATGTTTACTAATTTTTAATTGGATTAGGAGGAATTGAATTGAGAAGGAGTTGGATCGAGGAGAATTAGATTCCAGATTCCTATAGAAGTTGTTTACTAAGCTATATAGATTGAGGAGAGTTAGATTCTGAATTCCTATTGAAGCTGTCAATCGGTTCAAGCCCATCCTAGAGCAAGTTATAACCCACCATCAGAGTGCCTTTGTGCCCAATCAACAAATTCAAGACAATGTGATTATTGCTCATGACGTCTTTTATCACCTAAAAATGCTAAAAAAGAAGTGCTTTGAAATGGCCGTTAAATTGGATATGAGCAAAGCTTATGGTGGGATTTCCTTGAGGCTACTATAATTAAGATGAGATTTGACAAATGATGGGTGTCCGTGACCCTTCAATGTGTTCGATCTATGGAGTTTTCTGTGATTATTAATGGCAGCCCAGGCAAGCGTTTTCGCCCCACAAGAGGCCTAAGGCAAGGTGACCCCTTATCCCCTTACCTCTTCATTATTGTTAGCGAGGCCCTATCTACAATGCTCAAAGAAGTGTGTACAATTGGCTAGGTATCAAGCTTAGCAGGAATGGACCCCTGATTTCTCATATCTTTTTCGCTGACGACTCTCTTATGTTTATGAGAGCTAGTCGGGAAAATTGCTCTAATATGTTGGCTGTCCTAAGGAGTTACTACTTAGCCTCTGGCCAGCTGCTTAATATTGATAAGTCTTGTTATTCTTTAGCACCAATTCTCCCACTGATGTTAAGAATAGTATTTGTGAGTTGTTGGGAATGGCGCTTGTGGAGAACCTTGAGGTATACTTAGGGTTGCCGACCGTTTGGGGAAAATCTAAAAATGGAGCTTTGAAATATGTAAAAGATCGTATTCTTGGCAAATTGTAGGTCTGGAAGCAACTCCTTCTCTCTCAAGTTGGAAAAGAGGTCCCAGTTAAAGCAGTTGTTCAGACTATTCTAGGAATTAGAATACCACATCCCACCAAAGAATTGAATTCCTCCAAAATCAGGAATTCAATTCCTAATTTTGTGTGGGCTCAACTTACTTTTTAATTCATTGATATGAAGTAAACGCAAGAATCCTCTAAAGTGGAATTCAATTCCTGATGAGAATTCCAATGCTTGATTAGTAAACACATCTTTAGTTTCATAGTGCAAAGGTCTTTTAAAGGACGTACGAATTCATTCCCCACAATTGTTATTTTTGAAATTGTATTTGACCCTTAACTTTTTAAAATTGAAATACAGCCTTGTAAATAAAAAAAAAAAAAAAAAAAAAAAAAAAAAATAAAAGGAAAAAAAAAAAAAAAAACTCCTCTCGTTCTAGACCTCGTCTTGAAATTGTCCGTATGATATCCCATGTGTGCCACTGAACTGGTTGTTCTAGGCACATAAGATAGAGAAGACCCTGTAGCTGCTGCAACAAGAATTGACACCCCATTGAAGAATCAACATCCAATCCAATTACAATTGGATTTGCCATATTATCATCCAATCCAATCCGATCCATTTATAATAAATAAACTCTCTATAAATTTACATATATAATTCTTGCAACGAAAACCACAATTTGAGGCAGAAATATCCAAATTGACTACAAAGCTGCTGGAGAAACAAGTGAGGGGAAAGTTGGATGGTTGTGGGAAGGGCATGTGTAATCTATTGTAACTTAGCTTTAGAACCAATAAAAACATGCCAAGTGGCAAAAAACAATTGAGTTGATTTCTTTTTAAAAATTCAAATTTATGTGCCATAGAGATTCGAACTTGAGATTTTTTTACCGGACTAGACCTCATTAGCAAATTAATTCGGTTTTAATTAGTTTTCAATACCCAAAATCAACATTCAATCCAATTCAATGGGATTTCTGCAATAGGCATCCAATGAATGCAATCCAAATTCATTTGGATGGGTTTGAATTGAATTTTGTATTTTACCGTTGAAAAACCCTATTGAATTATTCTGTAACAGAAAAATAAACATCAGATTTGGAACTCTATAACATTATTAAATAATGATAAATGAACATTTAATGAAAATTTATTTTATTACTAAAAGTGGACGAAAATAATAGGACGAAATGGGGAAGCAGGTTCCCTCCTTGTTCGTGGTCACATGGTGCCTTCCTGTTTTTGGACCCTCATCTCATCAGCCTCTCTCTTGTTCCGACCTCTATAATTTCCGGGACTTGGCAATCTTTCTTTCTTATCTATGTTTACATAATAAGAGGTCAAATTGAAAAAACAATTAAAGTGAAAATGATGCCTCTCCTCCAGCTCTCCTCTTGTTTTTGTTCCTCCTATAACAAAACATCTTGGTCTCAGACCTCCCTCCCAATTCCTACTTTTCCCATTTCCTGTTTACTTTTGTGAGGTAAACTCTTTCCACTCCCTTTCTCCAAAATGGGGTTTTCTTTCTGTACATCACTTTGATTCCTCCTTCGTTATTCCTTTTCCATACAAACAGTTTCTTTGCTTTGCTTGGGTGGTGGGGTTTTGTTGCTTTCTTGTATTCCTTTTCTGATTTTTTTTCCCTTTTACTTTTCTTGTTCTCCCCAGATTCTTGCTCTCTCTCTCTTTTATTCTTCTTAATAACTTGTAGAAATATAATAGCATTTTGTTTCACTCTCCCACATGCATGTTCTTGGGTTTGTCTGATCTGGATTGGATCACAAGGATAGCTTAGCTTCTTCTTTTTTCTTTTAACTTGCAGAGAGAGAGAGAGAGAGAGAGAGAGGGAGAGAGAGTTTTGTGGTGGGGTTTAGTGCCTGAGTCTCTTTTGGTGCAATCTTGGTCTCTTTTGGGGGTCACAGAAGAACCAAAAAGAAGCAGAAGAAGGTGAGATTTCTTGGACTCTTTGATCTTCGCCTTGGGCCCACCCCATATTCTTTTCTTGGGTCTCTGGTATAAGTGTAAACGGCCTCTTTCTGTTTTCCTGTGCCATCTCTGTGTAATTTGATTTGGGTCTGATTCGTTTCTTCGAAAGATTATTACGAATTTGTCAATTTCTTGGCCAATTATGAACTGGGTCTGTTTCATTTGTTGAATTTACTACTCAGAATAATCAATTCGTTTCTGGGTTCTGATTATACTATATGGCCTTTTTGAGTTCTAATTTCGGGCTGTGTTTGAAGGGATAGTGATCATCCACCTTATCTTGTTGTGTTCCAGTATTGGATCATTGATTGGGTTTTTGGTTGTGTATATTAGTTTGGGTTGGTGTTATATTCTCCTGAGGCATGGCTGGAATTGATGTTTTGAAGTATGCTCATAGCCCTGTGCACAAGGCCATAGTCATGAGGGATTATGCCAGTCTCAGGAGGATTCTTGCTGGTCTCCCCCGGCTTTGTAACCCTGCTGAGATTCGAACTGAATCAGCCTCATTAGCTGAGGAGGAGAAGGCTGATGCCATTGCTGCCGTGATTGATAGGCGAGATGTCCCGAATCGTGAGACACCTCTTCACTTGGCTGTAAAACTTGGTGACCAGACAGCTACTGAAATGCTTATGGTTGCTGGAGCGGATTGGAGCTTGCAGAATGAACATGGATGGAGTGCACTCCAAGAAGCAATTTGCAATAGAGAAGAAGCAATTTCCATGATTATAGTTAGGCACTACCAGCCACTGGCTTGGGCAAAATGGTGCAGAAGATTGCCTCGTTTAATTGGAACTATGCGGAGGATGAGGGACTTCTACATGGAAATTACATTCCACTTTGAGAGTTCTGTTATTCCTTTCATTTCAAGAATTGCCCCATCAGATACTTACAAGATCTGGAAAAGGGGTGCAAATTTGAGGGCAGATATGACTTTGGCTGGTTTTGATGGTTTCAGAATTCAGCGTTCTGATCAGAGTGTTCTTTTCCTTGGTGATGGGTCTGAAGATGGTAAGGTGCCTCCCGGGTCACTTTGCATGATCTCACACAAGGATAAGGAGGTGATGAATGCTTTGGATGGTGCTGGTTCTCAAGCAACTGAAGAAGAAGTTCGGCAAGAGGTGGTTGCAATGTCTCAGACTAATATATTCAGGCCTGGGATTGATGTGACTCAGGCAGTTCTCTTACCTCAGTTGACTTGGAGGCGGCAGGAGAAAACAGAATTGGTTGGTTCATGGAGGGCCAAGGTATATGATATGCATAATGTGGTTGTCAGTATCAAATCTAGGAGGGTCCCGGGGGCTATGACAGATGATGAGTTTTTTTCAACTTGCAACGAAAATGAAACAGAAAGTGAGGAACTCAATGATATATTGACAGAGGATGAGAAGAGGCAACTTGAAATTGCACTTAAACTGGATTCGTCCGAATTGTCGAACGAGAATAGTGATGGGATGATTGAGCATCGTCATAGTTGTTATGAGCATAGGGAGATTCCTATTGAAGATGTAAGTAATGGTAGAAATGGAGAGAATAATAAGCAGGAAAAAAAAGGATGGTTTGGTGGATGGAGGAAAAGAGATACTAAAAATGAAGAGCAGAAAAAGCTTATACCCCCAAGAAGTTCTCTCTGTGTAGACGAGAAGGTGAGCGATCTGCTAGGGGATTCTCCTTCAAGAAATCAAAGCAGACCTGGAAGAAGTAATGCGGACGTCGTTATGAGGGGGGATGATCACCGGAAAGGAAGGGATATGAAGGCATCTTCCTCTACGAGTTCTGATATCAGAAATCGTCACAAGGATGCAAGCAAGGAGAACGAGTATAAGAAAGGGTTAAGGCCTATTCTCTGGCTTTCCCCAAACTTTCCCCTACAAACAGAGGAACTGTTGCCATTGCTTGATATTTTGGCAAACAAGGTTAAGGCAATCCGTCGTTTGAGGGAGCTGCTTACGACGAAACTTCCAATGGGAACATTTCCTGTCAAGGTATGCCTCCCTCTGTTTATCACTTTGTTACCCTTTCTGGTTTGTGGGTTATGCTATTTCCATGTATGTTTTTTTTTGGTTGCTTTTCCTATTTATTCTAACTTGTTTAAAGCACATTTTTTTTTCTCTGCCTGCCTGATTCTGTTGTGTCATAAGAGTAGGATGATGTACCCTCTATTAAAGGACTGTTTAGTTTTTTTAGGGGTTTCGGTTTCGAGTCTTAGGCACTGTGAAAATGTTGGCATATGGGGACTCATACTAGGTCATATAAAAAAAATTAGTCATCTGTATGTTGTCCAAGAAATTGGAATCTTACCGTCTGATTGCCATCCAACCTTTGCCACACGAAAATCCTAGGTAATTTTTGTACTCATGTTTACTTGAGTCTTCAATTGTTGCTTTCATGAATGATTTGCTGCTTTCGTTATTTATTGATATTTTGCTTTTGAATTTGGTGTACACTTGAGGAATTGAGCGGTAGAAGGATCTGCAATGTCAAGTTATTAATAAAATGATATCACAAGTGTCTTCCCTAGAGTTTCGTATTTGAGCAAATAGCCCATGTAAAGGGTAGTTGTTTCTTTTCCTTGTGCCTCCCACATAGTAATAATTAGAGATTAGACTGTAAAACTTATAATTGAGTGATATGTTGCATAACGGGGTAAGCCCCTTGCAAACAGTTTGAACAGTACAGGAATCCCGTTCCAAGTTTTGTAGCTAATGACCAAAAAATGTTCTAGATTACTCAGCTAGCATAGTAGACTATTGAGCACTGACATTTACTAATATGTGTGGCTTCACACGAAGTCCATCTGGTTTCTGCCCTTTGATATTTTATTCTACTGTCTTCAATTTGAGGTGATAGGGTACACAGAACAACTGGGATTGATGGGACTAAGCCCTTATAAATAGTTAGACCTTTAGATCAAACCTGTTCCAAGTTTTCCAGGTAATGAGCAAAGCTTGAACTGGACTCTACTCATTTAGCATAGTTGATTATGGAGCACTGGGATTTAAAATACTCTGTGTGGATCCACGTGAAGTCTTTCTGGTTTCTGCCATTGAGCTCTGATTTTCTACTTCCTTCCATTTTAGCATTTAGAGTTTTTACTTAGTTGTAGGATAAATTATCCCTTGGCTTTGACTTTTGACTTCTCTTGAAATAGAGGCTCTTTCATGTAAAGTATTCTTTGGTTGGTTCTTTTTATTCAATTTCCTCCTAAACACTAGTTTTATGTCCCCCCCACAGTTCAATTCACAGACATATAAGCTTGAACCTGAATCTGTTTATGCATGTATTGTTGCTGAGCTGACAGCACATGTAAGGATATACAAGAGTCTGTCGCTAACAGAATAAGTCAACTTGTATGCTCTCAAATAATTAATCGCACCAATAACAGACTAAATCAACTTATAGGTGCCCAAAAAGTTGTCTTTGCCAGACTTGTCTGCCACAAAAGAAAGTTACAAGGTCATCTCTAATAGTTCTAATATCGTGCAATGCTAACGTTGTTTAGTAAACGTTGATGTTGTTTTGTTTAGACATGAATATTTTACTCTGAATATAATTATTGACAGATAATTTACAGAGTTCTTGAACCCTATATTTTTTGTATAATGGCTTCTTTTGCTATTTGTCCATTCAGCTTTACGACTTATAGAGTAATATTTGCACCTGAGAAAAGATCACTTTTGTAGTTGAATTCCTAATCTTGAAGAGGTGAAATTGTACGACTTTGTCTTAATTGGGTGGAACTAGCTCCATGACCTAATGAAAAGAAAATGCAAGATAGAAAATAGGTAACTATATTTGATTAACTGAAAATAAGTAAATGTTTTTTTTAAATTCCAAATTTGTCAATGTTGTATAACATGTAATGAGAGAAGAAATAAATTAACAACCAAATGCCTATCAAATTTTGATACTTATTATTTGCCAAAATTTTGTTTCATTTCATTTAGGATACTCTCAACATGTATTTATACTTAAAATGTTAATCATGATAATCCCTCATCTAGAATAGTACCATAACTGTAATTGAAAACGTTGTGAGGGTCTATGAGACACGCATTATGACTGATGTTTGATTCAAGGATCCCTGTGTCTAGGTTATAATGAGTTACTATTCCATCCTCAACATTATAACAAAGATTGTTATAAGTTGTGACTAATGTTGCATATATAAATGAATTATTGGTGCATCATGGCCTATTGTTTTTTATTTTTCAATAATAAGAATATCTGCGTATCTTTATTATGTTATATCTGTATTCTAAACTGGGTTCTTTTTGACGAACACATGCACCTGTCAGTGATTGAACCTTGGGTTTAACCCTCCACCCTTAGGTGCAAGTGGCAACTAGTTGAAAGGCCATTGGCCATGCCCACACATTTTAAATCATTAAAATGGATTTTAGTATCTCAAATCTGGAGAATGTTATGCGGGGAAAATTAGGAATGACTATTGCCTCTTCATAAGGCTTTTCTACTCTTACTTTTGAGGTTTGCTTATTTGAAATTTTAAGGCAAGCATTATTGGCACTGTATTGTGGCTTCTTACCTATTCACATATTGTTTTTTCTTTTTCCTTTCTGTTAACATTTGGATTTTCATCCAACTACTTTTAGCATGCTATGTGTCTTATTAGACTACTTAACCTTACGTACTTGAACACTCACATATTTGTATGTATTATGTAGACTAGCAAGCTTCAGTGTCTATTATTGCTATTGATAAGCCATTGCACGTCACTTTATCTTATTTTAGTCTTGTATGTGATGGAAATTTGTGATTTGTTGTGATGGAAGAAAGATATTTAATGCAGTTTTTTTCAGCATATGGTAAACCGATGGGAAGGCCATGTCAGCCAGTTCCGTATTAAACTTTTTGGACTTGTATTTACTTTTGGATGAGAATCTAGAAATTTTGTTGCACAACTTGTTAAGACGTGGTGATTGTTTGGTGGGACTTCCTTTTGCTTTGCGGTTATTGATGTTGATATTTAGTGATTTCATCTAACCGTTTATTTTTATCTTGAAATCTCTCTTGAATCTATCTTCTGAGTACTGTGTGTGTGTTCAAATCTAGGTTGCTATCCCCGTGGTTCCTACTATCAGAGTAATTGTCACTTTCACAAAGCTTGAAGAATTACCACCGACGGATGAATTCGCAACACCCCCATCAAGCCCCCCTGTTGCAGGCATAGAGAGCCCAGCTGCAATGCAATCCTCAAGTTCATCTTGGTTTCAGTGGATAAGAGCTCCTTACAGCCGCCCTAGCTCGTCCGCTACTGGTTCTAGTAGTAGGATTGAAACCATCCAAGACCCATTTGCAATTCCCCCAGAATATACATGGGTTACAGTTGAGGCAAAGAAAAAGAAAATGCAGGAGAAGAACAAATCAAAGAAAGGGAAAAGTCACCACAAATGAGGTGGAGGCGCGGGGAGAGACTTAAGACCCAAATGTAAAGAGGATTTAGCTCAACAAAGGAACTCAGCAAGATACCAGATAGAGAATAGTATTTCATTAATCGGTGATTTTGTGATACTACTGTAAGGAGAAAAAGAACTGATATTAGAGAAGGCTTTGGTATAGAGAAGTGAATCGTCCTTTTTATCAAGGGAAAATCTACTGAATCATTGTGGGGGTTGGGAACAAATTTAGGAAAATATTGTGATTCTTGCGACATTTGGTGGATGTTTACACACCAGTTTGATTACTTAATTCATTTCATTTGCATATATATGGGGGTTCAACTTCACTCACAACATACTCAACAGTTGAGTGGCTGCTGTTGCTCTTGGAATGGGCAGGCAGCCTTGTATTCAGCTGATGAGTCCTTTGAAATATTTTTTTTTTTCTCGTTTAATTTATCTGCACCTTTTGCTTTCTGGGTTCTCAACTTTTTACTCTTTGTTAATTAATCTCACACTAATTTAAGCCTAAAGAAGACAAGAATTTCTTGTACAAATGTGTTGAGGCTGCCTTTGTTTCTCTCTCTTTACCCAAATGATTTATATATTTATGTATTTGGAGGTGCGAAGTGGTCATAGAAAAGAGTAAAAGTAAGAAACGTGTAAATTCGTTCCAATGTAACAATCCAAATCCAAAAGCATTTAGTAACATCGAATGTAACAATCAAAGAAAAGCGGGATCATGATGTTCAGCTTTAGGCGCGCACTTGACCGTACATGCAGTGCAGCACCAACTATTGCGCTTCTGATGCCAATCCAATGAAATAGGTGTTTTGGAAATTTTGTCATCATCATCATCAACATCAACATATTATAACTGAGTCTGAGTGGGAGGAGAAGAGACATGGTTATTATTAGAGGGTGAGAGCTGAGGAGGGAGAGAGAGAAAAGAAGCTTTATTATTTGCTTTCACTAAAACTAAAATTATTACCACAAGTAGTTTCCTCATACTTAACTCAAAGTAAGCAAACTCCCTCTTTAGTTTCCTCTAATCATTTTGTTACTATGAAATTTCATATTTCCTTTTATGAGGCCCGAGTTTTTTTTTTCTTTTTAATGAGAAAAATGGATAAGATTTATCTCTCAATGGAAGAAAAAGTATTCTCATGACCAAATGTTCTTTGCTAGAGAATATCCTTTTATTATTTTTGTTTCGAGATTAAGAATATTCTCAATATTATATATAAAGCAAAAGTCAAAGAATGTTAAAACATTCCAAATACCAGAAAATGCCTTTGGTTAATATAATATGGTAAATTCACACTTATTCATATTTAAAAAAATTAAAATTAAAACAAAAATAAGATAATGGATCCTATTTTTATGGAACACAACTACCCATTATCGTTTTTAATTCTAAATATATTATAAAAAAAAAAAAAAAAAAAAAAAAAAAAAAAAAAAAAAAAAAAAGGCGGGGCTGCTTCTCTCTCCCAAAACACAAAACACAGAGCGCGAGGGAGTGTTAGTGCATATATAAGGCAGCTTTTCGAAACAATGAATGGGTATCAATTATGACCAAAAAAAGATTGGGCAGCATTATATTCACTAGTTTCCTCATAGTTAAAAAAATATATCTTTTTTATTTTTATTTTTTTTATTTTTTATATGTATATAATTTTCTTATTTTTAAAGACCGAGCACATATATTGATAAAAAAACTGTACTATTTTTCACCGTGGAAAAGAGTCTTGACTTGTATACCAAGAGTCTATTCATTACATCCAACTACTCGCCTCCAAAACATAACACATCTTCGACAAAAAAAATAAAATAATAAACATGACAACACATCTCATGTTTTCTTGTGGGAGCTTATAACTTCCGTAGTAAAAGAGTCAAGGCAAGAATCTCTACCCCTCCTCCTTCCTAACATAACCAGAAGAAACTTCTTAGGTTTTTGTAAAGGGCAATTTCTGCCTTTCGTTCTCCTTTACATTCATGGTCACTCACCTAGCTAGATAAGTCATGGTCACTTTCAATACGTATGTTGAATTCCAACAAAACAGCTTAGGCGAAAAATCCAAATGAAAAAAATAGAGGGATTTTATATCATTGGAGACTTCTATATCAAATGTCATGACCTTCATATATCGCCGGCTTCCATCCGCATCTCTCCCAAAAATTTCAAGCACTTCTTTTCAAAATAATTTTCATCTTTTCCTTGCGGTGTTTGTTTTCTATCGATCTGTTGCCCATATTTTTAGTGTTGAAGAGAATTCACCACCCAATTGGAGTTGTATTCCCAAACAAATCGACTCACTGACAGTGCCTCATGTTTTCGTTGGGGCTCTAAGCAAATTAATGACTATAATTTAGAATCTAATGATTGAATGTTTAAAAAGAAATGTAATGCAAGTAATCCGCCTGCAAGTACAGTTAAAACAATCAAGTGAGACCTAACTGCGAAATCATAAAACATAAAGGAAAAGTGTAACCATGAAAACAAATTAGAGAAAGAGGGCACTTGCATGGTCTAAGTCAAATGGCCATATATATATATATATATTATATGAGCAAAACTAAGGGAAGAAGGATGATGTACTAGTGGCTAGCAGTACAGGTTTACTAATTACTAGTTAAATATCACCTTAAAATGGAAGATTAAGAATGAGAAGCGAGGCATCATACCTTAATTAAGTTGGACATCCTCCTCATTGAATTGCACAAACACAAGAGTTCCTTACTCCCTCAAGGTCCCCATCTTCCCACACGCTAATTAGCATACATTATGAAAGAGTGTTAGAATTGCATTGAAATTGGTGAGTATCTAATTAACAGGCATAATCCAAACTGTTTGAGATGAAAATGTGGTTATATGAATTAATAAATTCCTAGTCTAGTAGTGATATAGGGTTTTCTTGGTAAATTACCTAGAGGAAAGAGATGATAGTAGGAAAGTAAGTAGGTGGGGCTTAAATTTAAGTATTTACCTTGGCTCAAACTCCTGAACATGGGCAATATCTTTGCCATGAGCAATATCAGGCCAACTGACTTTCCTCCTTTCTGCCCTGAGTTGACGATTTTCCTCTACAGTTGCTGTTTTCTTGAGATTACTCTTGAGATTAGGGGCTTCAATTTTGTGAGGTCCACTAGACCCACAGATCTTACTGTTGCTCTTGTCATCATCATCATCACTTGTAGTAGCAGTACCTTGTGTTTGATTATGATTAAGATCATGATTATGATTATGATCTTTCTTTAATGGTGGACGCTGCTTCTTGGTATAAATATTGTTGCGGTTGTGGCTGCTTCTGTTGCTCTCTTCACATTTGTAGTTAGAGCTTCTTGATGGTACATAGCAAGAGCACACTAAAGCAGTGCACCTGCCCTGCGCCGACGCAGCCAGGAGTACAATTAACCAACAAGGTTAACTCTTCTATTTATGTTGTTGTATGTTGTCGCTATGACTGTTTCATACATCAAACCACGAGACCAGTCTTGGAGCTATCTATGTGTGTGGGATGTGAATGAATTGGTCAGGCAGATCAAACAAATGAGTTTTTGAAGAAACAGGAGAGAGAGAGAGTGAGAGAATGCAGGGGAGGGGCTTTTCCTTAATGATTACTGCTTGCTTTAATTTGCACATAAAGAGAGTGAGAGTGAAAGTGGGAAGGAGGGCCTCTCTTAGAGGTGGGGTTTCTAGGTTTTGAAAAGATGGTTGGGAGCCATAATCATATGCTCATGCCTCACTCCACTCCACTCCACTAAGGCCTAATGCTCATGCTTCCTTTTTTGCTTTTGCCTGGGCGCTTATAACTTGTGAGGTGAAATGGGTGAAACCAAAAGGATATATACAGGATATAGTGCTCTTTATCTTTTGACTGTTTATATATATGTACAGGTATAGGAGGTCCATTGCATTCATTGCTTTTAAAAGTAATAGAGAGTCTAAGAGGAGCATCTAATCTTCTCTTTCCCATGTTTTCCCTTTCTTTTTGTACTTTTCGCGGCACGGGGCTTGAATGAATTGGGTGGAGGGTGACAATTCTTTTCTGGATGTAAAGGAATGCCAAGGGAATAATATATATGATGCTCTTTCTGTTTTGTTTGTATTTAAAATTTTAAAACATTAGGTGTCTGAGAAGGTAAAATCATCTAGATGATCTCTTAAAAGGACAATACCATAATTGAAATGGCTTTCCCCCCTCCTTTTTATCAGTGTATTGGTATATATTCTAATGCAAGAATTCTGTATTGAAGGAATTTGGAAGCTAACATGGCATCTTTCAATTTTATCCTGATATGTGTACATTATGGCATAAAGGACCTTTATCACCAACATAAACAGTGCATTGTTTACCGGAAGAAGACATTTCGTTTAACATCACAATTTTGCCTTCCATTGAAAAGGCCTAGTCTAGTTACTCCCCATCACTGAAATAAGAAATTTATTCCGTTCTTGTAACTAAGATAGTACTATTTTACTATCCCCGGCCAATAACACAATGACACGTTGAAAATTTTCCCTCTTAACACAGGAATTGAAATTTTCCACACCCTTTCCAGTTCACTTGTGCGCTTTTACTGTAAGTAGTGTGCCCATCTCGGAGATTGGTGTGATCAATATCTTGAAGGGCATGTAGCTAGTGTTTTATGCAATCATAAACCACACATGTTGGCATCTTGCTGCCTTCCAAGTTCAAACAGAGTGAACAGCCAGCAGTGTCTATGAAGTAGGAGCCCATATTAGGTAAGCTAATATTTCAGATCTAATGACAATTGAACTCCCCAATTAAAAAACTTGCTTTAAAAAAAATATTGAATTGATTTCATTCAACTTTTACCTTTTTCTTTTCAACTATCAAATAAAAAACATAGCCTTTGGCCTCTGGAAAGGAACCAGACTTTCAGTTTGCGTTCGTTTCTTTAAAAAAATATTATATACAACAATGGGGGTGCTTGGCAACTGTTGAGCATAAGAAATGCACCTAAGAGGCTAAGACAAGGTTAGATTAGACATTTGACTTGTGTATGATTCTTCCCAATATATGCACGATTGAGGGGTTCAAGAAGGTACGTACAAAAAGTTTGTTACCAAATTGTATCTCGAATCACACGTGCTAATACCCGTGAAGATAATCGACTGAGCACTTCAGGGAGCACTTTGGAAGAGATGCTGGGAAAAACTGGAAGAAGCTCTTGGATAACCCGAGACACATTTAAACCCTGTAGATGTCCCCCACAACCGCATAAACACAGCAGATAACAAAAATTAGTATCTTGAAGGAACATCATACGCCACAAGCTTTCAAGAATTTTAAAATCACAAGTCTCATCATAAAGCTTGTAAGTACCTGATTTGATGTTCGCGATAAGGAACTTCCTGCAGTCAGGAACTCGAGTATTGTTTGGACATTGTTCAATATAACTCTATCCTCCTCTGTGATTGTTGGTAGAAGTCCTGCTGGCTTGAATAGCCCAAAAGTAGGAACCATGCTGAAAACTGGGGTAGCATTACCAAAACCAAGAATTGCCATAACACGAACCAATTGTTCCCTTGTAACTGCATCAATGCCCTTAACAATCTGCTTCGCATGTAAAAGACACTAAACATTTAGCATGCTTTAAAACATTCTATGCCAACTGAATTCTGATTCCAAACCATGCACAAGGCTCACTAGATATGTACACTAAGAAAGCTTTTAACTCCAAAAGGAAAATAAGTGCAGCTAGACAGAATAGGAAAACCCCATATCTTTTAGGGCAAGAAGATAAACAAATCGAGGCAAACGAAAAGAGAAACGACTCTGCAATCAATTTCCAACTAGGGACAATAGCCTTTGCACTTGAAGGATAGGAAGCTAATTAAATGATATTTCATTAATTCTACAACTTCTAGAAGTACCTCATCCAGAAGAAATTCTCTGAAAAAGTTCCCTTTGTCAGACAGTAAAAATGCTAAAGCCGCCCTTGTTTGTACTGGTGGCCCATTTGACAGAAACCCCGGCAAGGCATTCTCTGTTTGACCTTGCAGAATGCCAAGTTCTGCCATATCACCACTCAATTCCTCTCCACCTCCACTTTTAGCAGCTGTTATGAAAGTTTCAAAGGCTTGCATGACATCAATAAATCTCTCCGCATCAAAAACTCCAGATTTCCCATATATTGTGTAACGTAAAGCACTCCTTAGCCTTGGGGATTCATCAGTCAGGAGCCTCTGACAGTGAAATGAAAAGTAAGAACACAGGGAATTTCTAATCAGACAAAGACAGAGCATTTCATGAGCAAAACACAAAAGAGATAAGAAACATATGTTGCAGCTAAAGCGTGTAACCATTTAGGATTTCTTTCTACAAATTTGACTAAAGAATAACTGGTTCATTACTGTTAAAGAAACACAACCTTGATATACCTACTAACCTGTTATGGGAATCATTCCCATTCCAGGTGATTCCATGTTTACTTGTACTGACTGAGGGAATTAAAAGTCATGTGGTGATTTGGGAATGGGAATGGGTCCATCAGGAGCCAACTTCACCCAAATTACCCTAACATTTCTTGATAATACTAAAAACACCCTTAAAGAACCTACGTGCCTAGACACTTAAATGGGAACGACTGTTTCGGATTCATTCTCATTCTGATTCCATGTGTGTGAAAATGCCATCAGCAACTATCACAAAGTAGCAGAAGACATTGTAGTGTCTTTTTTTTCTCTTCAATCCACAGGACAATGTAGTTGGTACCATGAGAAATTTTTTAATCATTAAAATCATCAAATAAATTTTTGAAAATACTGAAACCTTGAGGATATAAGAAGGGCACACCAACTAGTAAGTTCAGGTATCCCATAATTTTTGCTTATGTACGTATTCATTTATTTTTCCAGTTACAAGTCAATCACCAAATTTCGTAGACAATATTCCACTAACCTTCTTAGGTTGACCATGTCAGCAATTTTGATCACATGGTCCAACTAACATTCACTCATTGCATAGGCTTGTATTCAAATATGGAAGGGATAATTAAATGAATTACGAACCAAAAAACATTTACACCAGCATTAGCAGATTTAATATCCATGTGATACTAAAGTTAAATGTATAAAAAGAATCAGATACATGAAAGAATATGGATACCTGGGCAATATACGGATAGGCCTCATCCACAATGGCAAAATCGGGATTTCCTACTAAAGCTATGCCTTCCAGGACCCCAATTGCCCTAATTATAAGAGCAAAATAAGGGGGTATCCTAAATGGATAGTCAAATGTGATTTGAGCCAAATCTGATGCCAACTCCTGGAAGTTGATATTTTTTGCTCCTCCACCTTCAAGAGCCTGATCAAAAACCTTGGCCAGAACAGGCAAAATAGGTTCTAGATTAACCCCCTCTGAAATAAATTCAAGTTTAACAAAGTCTTTGACTATGGCTCCATAATCACGATGAATAAGGTGAGCAATTGCCTCAATCATTCCATACTTCTGATCATCACTTAATTTAGTAACAAGACCTATTACAAAAAAAGTGAAATTTAGAAAAGGTGATTTGTGCTTGACAACAAGAAGAAATTATAAACACTCAGTTTAACATTTTTTTGGAGTCCTCAAGCTAGGACAATGTCAAGGAGGCAAAACGGGTTATTCTTAGAGTTATGCTCAAAAGGACAAAAATTCGTGAGACTGCCAGTACATTTGGAGTGCTATGTCTAATATCGAGATACGTAACCAACCACTCATGATGAACTGAAGAAAAAGCATACCTAATAGCGATCACTGTCACAAATTGCAAGGCTTTGCTAAAGAAACACATGCTCATGTCAGGTCTGGAAGCTACATTTTCGGGAGAAATACAGGCACGGAGGATATTTCTGAATCTATCTTTTCAGATTTAGTTATGATTGTCCCATGTCTATTTTCCTGCTAGTTCATGACGTCAATTTGAAGACTTAATGAACCTGACTTGAGAATTTCACTCGACATGCTTTAACTTTTCTCATGTCATTGCCTTTAAATGAATAGGTCCAAGTTTCAAAATTCATCTTAATAGGATACCCACATTAAGGTTAACAGTAGTAGTGTTTGGTGTACTTTGACTTAAGAGTGTATCTGACTATTATTTAAGTTAGATGAAATCATGATTACCTGGAGGTGAGGAAACTCCACTGAATGGAAGAAACGTGGTGCATTATCTTTTATTGTATTTAATGTTTTTTCTATTTAGTGATAGGTGACATAAGTATATTCTTTAATCTTTTTTGTTGTCTTGTTGGGTTTTTGCACTTTTAAAAGTTAAACATAGTGCACAGAAGCATATGAAACCAATTTTCACTATATGATGTTTCTAAACAAGTGGAAACATGACCTTTCAGCAAGTACCGTAATGAGTAGAATATTACCAAAATCAAGTATGGCAAGCTTCCCATCTGGAGTACGAATCATATTCCCAGGATGAGGATCAGCATGAAAAAATCCAGTATC